TTTCACCCTCAAATTGTTCGGAATCGACCATTGAAACCCCGAATGGTTGATTTGGCCGTTTAAAGGGAAGGGAAAAGGGGGGTGGTTTAGCGCGTTAGTGGTTGGGGCTAAGGTGCTTTGGGTTGGGCTAGGGTGGTGCGTCAGCTACGAAGTTTGGGGTTAGGCTAAGGTGGTTCATTGGCTGGGGTAGGTGGGGATGGGAGTGCCGGTAGCTATTGCCGGTAGTGGAAGTGGGTGGTGGAGCTAGTTAGGGTTAAGGATGGGTTCAATTTTCTTCATGGTTTTTGGTGTGTGGCGGTTATGCTAAGTGTGGTGGTTAGTGGTGTGTGGCGGTTGTTGGGTGTGGCGGTGGTTGGGTGCGTTAGTTTGGGTGGTTAAGGTTGGGTCGTGAGGGCTGGGTTTTTGTGGTGATGCAGCAAAAAACTAGCGGCAATAGCTATCGACAACTTTACGGCAGGGTTACATCGTACACACTAAAGGTATCTTGGGGTTACATCGTGGAATTTTGAAAACGGATGGGGACAGCTACCCATAAACTATAATACTACCTCTGTTTCATAAAATCTGCAATATTTTCCAAAAAGGGAAGCTACAAATTATCTACAACAAACTAAAACTTTCCTCTTTTAGCAATTTTTTTTGATAAAATTACCATCATACCCTTACTTAAGTTTACTTATCTTTAATAAACCACATATTAACTTATTAACCCAAATTAATTTATCCCTAATTAAAACCCCAACCCACATTCTCTCTCCTCCCTACAACCACCTCCACCACTAACATCACCTAACTTTTCTCCCTCCTCCCTCTCAACCACCAGCAATACTTTTCTCTTTCTTCTCTCACCACGCCCGTTCTCATTTACGCCACCTATTCTCATCAATTCGCCACCCATTCTCATCGACTTGCCGCCTGTTGCCTCGTTCTCTTCTCCCCATTCCCTTTTCAAAGTATTCAATTTGCAATTAATTTGGGTTGGGTTCGATAATTTTATGTAACCAATAAGGGTGAGGTCTTCGTGGTTGTGTTTTCAATCTTTGTGGTGGTAGGGTTTCAGATCTAAGTGTCGATTTGTTGGTGGTGGTGAGTTGGGGTTTTGGTTCGTTGGTGTTGGTTGGTGACAGGTAACGTTTGTTTCTGGTTCGTTGGTGCTAGTTGATGACTGTGTTGCGATTATTTGGTGGTGGCCGGTGATGTGGGGTTTCGGTTGGGTGGGTTTTGGGTGGTTGTGGTAAGGTGGGTGGTTGTGGTTACAAGGTGGGTGGTTATGGTTTCAAGACGGGTGAGGGGATTTTGGGTATATGGTGGTTTCGGTGGTTAAGGTGGCATGGGTGTTTGTATGGTGGTTGTGCGGCCAATTGGTGTTGTTGGTGGAGTATGTGAGTGTTGGCGGTGGTGAACTAGTGGAGTTCTTTTCTCTCTCATCCAATTAATTACATGCCCTTCTATTTCCTAATCTTTGTTTAAGAAAATTTTTTTTCGGAATTGTGGAAGCTAGTTTGTTGCAGATTTTATGAAACGGAGGTAGTAATAAAATGATAAAGAAAATACTTTGCCACCAACTAGATATAATATAAAAAAAAACTCCACTACCACTTAATAGAGTTAATTCTTTTTTTTTAAAAAAAAAACCTTAATATTAGCCTCTCCGTACTTTATATCTAGTATCTGTTATTCTAATAAGCAATAAAATAGAAATTACTTATCTCTTGATGCGTGAACCAAACTGACAGTAGCTATGTCGTGGAGAACCACTGACCTAAAAGACGATTCTGTGCTACCAGCCGGTGCAGTAGACTAGAAGTGGTCGCCCTCCAGGATAAGCATGGCACCAGAGTTTATGTGCACTCACAAACCGATTGGGATTCAGATACTTGACAAGAAAACAGAAAAGAAAGAACTCATGTTTAGATAATTTTTTAGAAGAGAGAAGACAATTGTTGTTGTTGTTGTTGTTGTTGTTGTGTTTTGGCTGAAGAAAGACCAAGTATATATAGCCACCCATTGGAAAACAGCCAGCATAAAACAAGGGAGGAACTTAGATAAGAAACTGTCTAGATTAACTTGGCCAGTCAAGAGTAGAAGCAGTAATCAAGGAATTGAATCAGTCATCTACAATCAAGGAATTAATGGCTGATTAAATCACGCAACAGTCATAAAATCCCAACAGTAAAAAACATATGAAAAAGGAATATTATGTCAACAAAGAAAGAAAATATAATTTCTCTAAAAAGATAACAAGGACACACGCCCGCGCATCGCATTCCCCAAGTCCCGAGCTCGACCCGGCTCGGCGCGCGCACGTGTGTGTGGGGTATAACACCCACCTCCCAATCACTCAACTAAGTAGTGCTAAAGCACTACAATATAAAAACAAGGCAAAACCTTTTTCCCCAACCAATGTGGGACTTTTACCTTTCATTTGTTTTTTTTCTCTCTTGTTGTTTCAATGAATACTACAAGAGTTGGGGGGGGGGGTTGAATTGTATTATGACAGAATAGTCAAACTTTTTGAGGAATAAAAAACAAGCTAAAGGAATTGAAAGTGCAAGAGAGATTTTACGTGGAAAACTCCTTAGCCCTAAAAAAGGAGAAAAACCACGACCACTTGGAATTTTAGGAAAAGAATCTTCACTAGAATAGGGAAAATGGACCTATTACAAAATATGGACTCTAACTTCAAGTTCCTCAAGGAACTCAAAGCCCCGAAGAACAAGTCACCCAACTTGTCACTCTTCTCTATCTCTCTTCTCTTTCTCACTTCTCTTTCCCACAAACAGAAGTTCACTCAAACTTCCCAATTCCCCAAAATACAACTCGAAAGAAATAACTCTAGTATAAGAACATAGAACACTAGTACTCTATTTCACTAATGTGGAATTGGACTCTTAACTAGATTAAAGAAAGAAAAAGCTATAACTTATTTGAGCAAGGGTGATTTTTTCCAACTGAGATAAAAAACTATTTTATAGAGCAACAAACACATTAGAAAAACCTCTTTGTGCAACAACTCCATTACGCCACGACTCCAACCCACTAAGAAGATCATGTTCCTCAATTCAAGTGACATGAACTCATGAACTCCTCAATGTACTTGACCATGGTATGAAAGAGATCATGGGGAGTAAGCCACAAGTTTTGGAAAACTTTAAATCAGATTTTATTTGCAAAAAAGATATGTCGAAAATAAAAATAAAAATAAAATTCTTTTTTATTAGAAAGATAAACGTAAGAAATTAACTGTTTTCCTAATAACATGCTTGCACTATTTTATCTTCTAAGACCAATTCCACACAGCTATTTCGAATGTAACTTAATTCTTATATATATACTCACATAAATCCTAAAATATAAAAAGTTTTCATGTTCTCTAATGAAGCTTCTACTCCGAGGCTTTTGTTCCTCAAGGGGAACTTCTTTTCTCTGGTGAAACTTCTGCAGCTTTTGTTTCCTGAGGGGAACCTTCTCTTCTCAACACTTCATTTCTGAAGCACCAGATCCTGCAAAGGAACTCTTCTTTTTGGATAACTTTGTTTATGGATTTCCTGTTCCTCATGGTATCTTCGCAAGACAATTAGTTCTCCTACTCATTGCAACTGATCACACACTCAAACAATCAAGGTCTTATTAGTATGTCAGTAAGTGCGGTTGTGTTATCATCAAAGTCATTAAGTCCAAAATCTCTCTCTTGTTTTTCCCAACTCTCTTGTTTTATGTCAAGAACTTCTAACAGTATCTACAAGACTACCATGGATTTTGTCAATTAGTTTGCTAAAACTTTGTGTCGCTCAAAGTGTATCACATAAACAAGGATGATGACGAGGAGAATACTTGATTAGCAGACGATATAGGTAAATATCTTTCAACCAAGTGATTTGGACCGATCTCTTCTTTAATTTTTCCCGTAGCGAACTACACATTGAATATTGTATTGCAAAGCAACCATTGTGGAACATTAGAGTGACAGTTTCTGTCTTTTATGAGACTATTTCATGCTAAAATTTGATTCGTAGAATTTGAAATAATAGACTATTTTAATATAGGAGAACATTACACTTTAATAATTTGATAAGATATCAGTTATTCCTCGCTTGAAAGTTATTAATTATAAACAACGAACCAATTTGCTAAACGCACATGATTCTTACACATTTACGCTCTTTTTTATACTCAATTTGAAGTTTACGTGAAACAACTTCTTATATGTATTGTTGAAGCTAAGGCAAGATTCTAAATTGAACAATGCATTAAAATCATAAAGGTTGAAGCATGTGAATTTCATTGCTATTTAAAGGACAATTGAAGCTTATAGTTGTCTGATAAAACTCTCTCATCTATTTATGTGTGTACATTTTTCCGAAAGAAAGTGCAAAAATATGCACAATATATTACTTGATAATTGATAGGTAGCTAAATTAGGGAAGCATAACCAAATATTATCAAAATATCAATGTAACTAATTACTATGTTTGATTCCGTCTTATTCTAGGATTCTAATTTCTGAGCATACTAATTTCCGTTTCATTTTCTAATAAATTGTCTATGAAAACTACTATTCCATGTAGTAGATGCTGATTCAACATGCATGTTTTCAGGAGTCCATGCATCATGCATGTACAAGATTAATATATTCGATCTATAAATAACACGCCACGTTTCTGCTTAACATCTTTCAAAAGTTATAGGTGTCATTTCAAATTTAGCAATTCAGTTGGATGTTGATATTTCCGTATGTATTTCTCTTGATTCTCTTAGGTTAAATTTCAAAGCAAAATCATACAAAGTGTTAGTTGTGTACCATAGAGTAAGTTATGAAAAAAAAAACAAATATGGAAGAGTATTTAATCATGATAATTTAACTTTAATCTTTAAGAAATTAGTATCTTTAATCAAACGAGGATTATATTTTCGGCTTTTTGGAACAAAGTACGTAAAACATTGATAAACAAACCTTTAGAAAAAGAATTAACAAACTTAAAGTTGATTATGTTGTAACTTGTGGGTAAGCAATATACGGTATGTGCACATATGAAAATAATTAATGTGTTAGTGGGATGACTCAATTCCCTTTATAAATTGATCAAGTTCAATGATTTTATTAACTTCATTATCTCTTTTTTTTATTTAATATGTCAAATTTCTAGCTCATAATTCCACTAAGTCATCATTTTCTCTTATTTTTCATTTACAACGTTTTATCAACCAAAAAAACAAAAAACACAAACAATAAAATAAAATGGTGGGAACTTGATTAGTAATTAGTTAATTATATACTCTTCAATTAATTAAATTAGTGGAATCCCTAGGATTCGAAAACTCGAAGCCGTGTTATATTTTTCTTAGAACTTCATATTTTCATGCACCCAAACTTTATAGTTCCTATATTATAAATAGGTGCATATTTTGCATGGCTTACTGCCATTTACCAACTAGTTGAAATCACTAAGGAGAGAAAAGGAAATAAAAAGATAGTGATTTCACAACAATGGCATCTATGGCAAAGGTTTGGAGTCGAGCTAGACCGTACGTGGCCGTCATCTTTATGCAATTCGGGATCGCCGGGCTAGCTATAATAGCTAAGTCTGCCCTTAACAATGGAATGAGTAATTACTCGTTCGTTGTTTATAGGCAAGCTGTGGCTGCCGTTGTCATCTCTCCTTTCGCCTTTGTACTTGAAAGGTACGTACGTGACTACGTACCATATGTTCGTGTTACACCTATTTCTAACACTGTATTATACCATGCTTAAAGAAAGAGTTGTAACTTATTGTGTGATTTCTTATATATGCAGGAAGGTAAGGCCGCAAATGACCCTCTCCATTTTCATCAAGATACTAGGTCTTGGTTTGCTAGAGTAAGTATATCTATACACTATTTTAATAATAAATGAAAATCGATCATGAAGTATATTTATTTTATTTCATGCTCATAATAATATTGTGCAAGGAACCTCTTTTGTACGTGGAGCAATCGGCTAAGTAAGTACTCCATCTGTTTCCTAACTTTCTCGGTAGAGAATAAGGAACTATCTCAAATGAAAAAAAGTTTTAAAACACATGGTCGCTACATAGAATTTCCTAGTATATATGTAGTTTATTTATTAAATCGAATTTTTTGGTGCAGGCCAGTAATCGATCAAAACCTCTACTATGCGGGGATGAAGTACACAACAGCTACCTTTGTTAGTGCATTAAGCAACACCGTCCCAGCCCTAACGTTTCTATTAGCTTGGATGTTTAGGTACAAACACGATCAAATAACACATACTTATATTACATCTAAATTTTATACGTATCTTGTTCCTCGTATTGTGCACAATCTTATTAATCATAATGCATATTTTCATTAGGTTCGAAGTAGTGAATAAGAAAGTTCCGAGCTTAGCGAAGGTCGGTGGAACGATAGTGACGATTGGAGGTGCAACAATAATGACTCTTGTAAAAGGTCCAGGGCTTAATATGCCATGGAGTAACGGAAGTTACAATCATCATGTTGTTAAAACTGTTTATCATCAAAATCCTATAAAGGGTGCAATTATGATCACTTCTGGTTGTATGGGTTGGGCAGGCTTTGTTATTCTACAAGTAAGCATCCATTATTTATTCTGCATTATATTCACAAACTTGCCATAGGAATAACCGAATAATCCCAACTTTATAAACAATCTTAATTATGAAACTTGTTCCAATTTTTGTTCACTCAATCAAAATAAACCCAGTTTAGGTTATATTCACAAACCCGCCGTAGGAATATTCCAAACTTTCAAAGATTTTATTAAAAATTTAATTTTGGATTTGTGGTAACTCAAAATAATTTCAATTGCAAGCCGTCTTTAAAAAATAGTTTTAAGTGAGTAGTTTTGAACAATTATAATTTAGCTATTAGTTACAAAGAACATCCTCACTTTTACTACTAAACTTCGATTTATACGTAGTTGATGTAAGAAATACACGGCATATATTGCATGTGGTTTTGAATGTTTATTTTATTTTTTATTTTATTTTTTTTGGAAATTGATACGTAGTTGATGTAAGAAATACAACGGCATCCTCACTTTGTTTTTAATGCACTCTTTTAGGGAATTTTATTTCACATATATTTCATGTGGTTTTTTAAATGTTACGTAACAAATTCTCACATGGGTTATTGTTTGTTTTGTGTTAGGCTATAACACTAAAATCATACCCGGCAGAAATGTCCTTAACGGCACTGATGTGTTTTGCGGGTGCAATAGAAGGTACTATTGTAGCATTTGTTGCCGAACGAAACACTTCCATTTGGGCGCTTGATTGGGATTCTAAGTTATTTGCCTATATCTACAGTGTACGTAACACTTTATTTTACAGATGCTTTAGATTTATTTGTCACGATGATAACATCATTTAAATTAGTGATGTGACAGCTATATCTAGTTCGAGTACAAATCCAGGGTATTGAAATGATAAATGTTTGCATTTTGGTAATTTTGCAGGGGGTTATATGTTCGGGAATTGGATTTTACTTACAAGGGAAAATAATGAAGGAAAAAGGACCGGTTTTTGTGACCGCTTTTAATCCTTTAAGTATGGTTATCGTCGCCTTCCTTGGCTCCTTTGTTCTAGCTGAACAACTTACTTTGGGGAGGTATTGATTTTGTTTTTTTTTAATTGTTTTCAATTTTTTAAAAAGTATAACAAACAAAAATTAATGGATTTTGTGCCAACAAAACTAATTTGTTTTGGAAAAGCATACAAGATAAAACAAGTATAGAATATAGATTATAGAATATTCTAGCTATGTCATCCATCATATGTCAAATCTCATTTAGGATATCCTAGTATACGCTTCACGTACTTTTTATTGTTACCAAATTAAACTATAAACGTTTCTATAATGCTCTTAATAATTGTGATATTTTAGTTCAATCATTTCCAAACAAAATAAAAAACATATTTTAAAAAAAACTTTCATATCTATATCTTAAAATACCTTAATTCTTTTGTATATTTAATCTTGTAAGAATCTTCTTATTGCAGGATAGCCGGAGCAATTGTAATAGTTATGGGTTTATACATAGTGATATGGGGGAAAAGCAAAGATGAAAAAGAGCAAACTTTACCAATTATTGAATCACCAGACTCCACAATAAGCACAATTACAGACAATGCAAATGTTGCTAATGATCTCGGTATCATTAAAGAGACTCCTAATGAAGCTTAGAGGATGATTAAGAATAAAATTCGCGGCATGACACCATAATTTTTGTGTATTTTTTCCTTTCTTTATACGTTTAGTATACTTGCAGTTTTCGTATTTGTCAGGATCGATATATGTTATGTCACTAGTGATAAAAATTTTGTCAAACCATATCAATATTAAACTTATTTGCTCACATTTCCCATTACCAACTTAATAATATGCTTTATTCCAAAAAAAAAAAAAAAAAAAAAAAAAAAAAACTTAATACTACCTCCGTTACAGGTTATGTGCAACGATTAGACATTTTCCCTTTCTGCTTTATGTCAAATCGTTGCACATAACCTGTAACGGAGGTAGTAATATACAACTCCTGGATATACACTCGGGTACACTTTGCTTCAGGTACACTCAGAGTACTTTTATAATTGACTCTACCTATGTCTCACAAACAATCTTGTGCATTTAATTACGTTATTTATTCTCTAAGATGGTATATTCATTTCTTTTTTTCAACGTTTTCACCCGTATCATTGTCTTCCACCCTTTATCATCAGTTTTCTAGGGATCTCTTCTTCTCAAAAAAAATTTCGCTTAAAAATAATGATACGGAAATTGAGTGTTTTTTGACACGTAAAAACAAGACATTACTAGCATTTTTTGCCATTTAGACTTTAAATTGGATCCTTAAGAATTATAATGACCCCCAAAATCTTAACTGGGTAATTTTTTGGCTTGAAAATTGAGAAATTAAATATTTGGAAAATCATATGTTGATCAACGGTAGATTTCAATGGTCAACTCCCACTTTCCGATCACAAGGCCCCTCTTACAACAAAACTCACTTATATGGTCTTTTTGTGCCACTTAAATTTTAACATTAAAAAGGTCATTCTCACAAGAAAGTGAGTATAAATTATAAAATTCCCTTTGTGACAAATTTTCCATAATTTATTTAGGAAAATCACGATTATTTCTTTTATATACACCATAGCAGAGGGTTGTGGTGCCCCTCTGTAAAAAGTAAGGGCATGTTCACATTTACTGGATTGATCTGAAATGAACTGGACTGAAATGAATATTTTATGAGAGAAGGAAATTAGGAGTTGAACTAAACTGGACTGAACTTATTAGAATTGAACTAAACTGAACTGAAATTAAGCTGTATTGAATAGGCCCTAAAGGCCTGTTCAGATTTAATGAACTGAATTGAACTGAATTGTTTATGAGAGAAGGAAATTAGGAACTGAACTGAAATGAAAATAAGCTGAAGAGAACAAGTCCTAAAATACCACTCATCCTGTATATATAAATTAAAGAATTTTTTTTTTTTAAAAGAGAAAGTTTATCAACTAAAAAATGGAAGGATCTATCAATCAGCAAAAACTTTTTTTTTTTAATAAAAATTAACAACCAATTACTTAATTACGTACAAAATTATATAAATTATGATATTTAATTTATATTCATTAGTAAAATTAATCAAGTAATACACAAATAAAAAATTTCTATCAAATTAGTCAGTTAATTTATACAATCAGAATTATATCTAACTGAATGTAATAGCTAATAAAGGTCGGAGGAAAGATATATTTTTATAATAGTATTGATGTTTATACATCGACGTAGAAATTCAGTTCCACTCTCTTCGTTTGAAATTTAGTCACAAAAAAAAAATAATAAAAAAATAATAATGACAATGACAATGATTGTTGCTGCTCAGATTTGGACAACCCGTATCTGAGATCCGTGAAAACCCTATCCGATGACAAAGTCAGAAAGTGTTTATATATATGTATATGTATGTAATCCCCCGTATTTTTAAAATATTTTATAAATGAAATTTTATTTTATTTATAATATTTATTTGTTATTTTCCGGAATTTAATTTCAAAAGTTTCAAATTGTTAATCTGGGTCGAAAATTATTTGAACAAATTATTTTATGCACCTTTATTCTACAATTTATGTCCAATCAAACAAGTCTAACCCATTTGTTTACTTAATTGACCCATTATTTTTATGAGGCCCAATCTTCCTACTTACCCTACAATTCTCTCCTATAAATACCCCATGAATCCCCAAAATTTTCCCACACAAAAAGGTTAGTCTTATTTTCTTTCTCCTTTATTTTATTAATTTGTGTAATTATAATTATTGATTTATGAGTTTTGATTTTATTGGTTGAAATTAATTTAATTAGTATCAAATTGTATTTTGATGATTAAACTTTATAATTTCAGATTTTATAAATGTCATAATTTTCAGATTTTGTAAATTTTATAACCTAGGGTTTTTAATTATTGAAGATCGTGATTTTAAGGTTTTTATGAACAATTGATTTAGGGATTTTATAGTATGATGTTTTAAAATTTTGGTGATTATAACTAAAGATTAGTTTAACTTAATTCCAAATTATTTTGAACACGTAAATTTGTGTTTCAATTTTCAGAATTCCGTTCGTTAATATTAATCCCGTTTTAATCCCGATCAGGTTCTGAAATCATCCGATTTTGACAAAACAATAGTGTTTTCCATATGGAAACAACGTTTTAAGAAAGATTCACTACCTTAGGTAGTGTGAACCACCCTCTCGTGGCTAAATTCAGCCTCTAAATATGATTTTCGGGCAATTTTTTATTTTAACGAAGTTTTTTTATACTTAAGATATTATCCTTGAGTTTGATTAATAAAATTAATTATTTTTAAAATTAACTAAGCTTAAATATATGTTTTATTGAAGTTTTAAGTGCTGGAAATAGTTTCTAAGTATTATTTTTGATGTTTTATAAAGAGGATTTAATCACCCATTAAAAAGGGAGATTATTAGGCGTTTTTAAATTAATTTTCAGATTTTTATTTGACTTTGAACTTGCTGTAATTTCATGTATAAGAGTGTATTTTGAGGTTTTTATGAAAAAACTTTAAAGAACTATATGTAAGCCTTTAATTTTGACTAAAGGGAAGGTTTTAAAGTGTTGTTTGATTTGGATTTTGAAAGTTTTAAAGTAAGTTAGTATTGCTGTAAATTTGGTTGATTGGGTATTGATTGATATGTTATTATTTGGTTTAGGAGAGGAGTTTATTGAAGGTGATTTCTAGTTAGTCAAGTGGCATACCAAATCATTTTCGCAAGGTACGTACGAGTTACGAAACCTTGCTTTTAGGTGCATGTTTAAGGACGGATTGAGAACTTAGAATCATGTATAGGGATGACTGGGTTAAATTGTTTGGTTATACATTGTGAATTTCATATGATGTGTACTATTTTATATTGCAAGTATTATTTGTGCTCTAATTATGCAAGGTGCGCTTAGAGGCAAAGGTATGCAATTGGTGTAAAGATTAATTTATTACTCATTCATGATTATGCAAACAAGATGAGTAAAGGAAGAATTCAAGTCTTATAAGACGAGGTTAAGGTTTTGGGGTGCCTTATGCACTCAAGGTGTTTATACACCGAGGTAGTAAAGGAATAAATAATAAGTGTTGTTTGTCACTAATAAATCAAGAATTGAAATTGGAAACTTGCCTTGTTTGATTGAATTGTGTTTAGAATGTTTGTATTGTTTACATATGAGTCATCACCAGGTCTAAACCTGTAAGTCACGTAAAGTGCAATATGGATGAGCAATAAAACTCTGGATTGGTGCACTTCTAGAGTAATGACAATCAGGGGTTGGGGTACACGGGGTATTAGCCGTGTACTTTTCTCGAGGCCGTCTGATCTACGAGTCTCTTATTTCAAATATTTTTCAAAATTAGGAGTTAGGTGAGATCTCATACTAACTACGGTCACGGAGTCGTGCCCGTGGTCGTTGGATGTTTATTGATGTTTCCGAAAGGAGGCATGGGGTTTTTCTTTTATTGATGTTCCAAATGGAGCATGGGTTGGACAACCCTGTCTATTGCGTAATCCAATGAATAAATAAATGAGTTAGCTACTACTAACTAGTGAAGTCTTAATAAAATTGATAGATGAGTCGTGTGTTGAGTCTATGATTTAATGATGCATGATGATTGACTATTAGTATGTAGCATGTTATGGATTTCTTATTTTATTTCACAGCTTGTATGTACTCAGCTTTGTTGATTGCGTGCTTTTGTGTGCGTCTTTCTTTGGTCATGGCCTTCGCCTTTCAATGACCCTGTGACGATCTAATTTTTACACTTGTAATAGTTCTTACACACGCAACATTCGCATCAGGGTTTTGGGATTTTGAGTGGAGAGTTGGTTATTATTCGCAGTTTATTTCTTTTCATAAGTTTGAATTGTATTAAACTCTGGTTTATTTATTTACTACTTTTGTGGGGTTTTGAATAAGGGCAAAAATGGTTCCAAGTTGTATGATTTAATTTGGTTTTGCTTATTAGTTTTGAAACTTATATATATTTATTTTAGTTTTTCTGCTGCTATTTTCTGAAAAAGCCTTAACGTTTGAACACGTGGTGGTAGCACGCCAGTAATTCTCTTGAAATTGTTCAAGTTATTCACAGGTTTTTAAGAGAGAGTTATTGGGGTGTTACAATGTATATGTATATATGTATATGTATATATATACATATATATATATATATATATATTTATATATATGAGATAAACCTATTTATTTAAAATGTCAGGTGGCTGCATGCCATGCGAGCCCCATTTGTGCCAAGTGTTGATTAATCGACACCACGTGTTAATTTGCGACAAGCCGATATCTTTGCTGTTATGTGTATTTACCAATATGACCATTATTTTTTTTTAACTCGGACTCGATTATTCTATAATTCAATTGACATCGGCACAACATATAATATCGATATCTCCCCATAAACCTAGCCTACCAAGTGAGGATGTTAGAGAAACTAATGTTCACACTTATATTTGTTTTCTTTATTACGTAGAACGTAGGGGGCCTCTGTAGACGTTTTTACTTTGAGCTCAATCATTTTGACTTTTGTAGACTGAGAATGAACTTAGTATTGTATGTTTCTTGCACTTTGTCAAACACTTTCCTTGCAGTCTAGGATGTACTTTAAGTTGATCATCTATCATTATGAAACTTTGGTTTGTTGAAGTGAGAAGATCTAGACAGAAGACCTACTTATATCTTCATTAGGAGTGCAAAAAAACTCTGTTTTCCCCCCAAGTGATCTTATTTTCCGATAGCAAACAAGGCCCACTTTAGTTATAAGTTAGTAGCGAAAAAACTT